AGTTTCAGCACCTTGGACAGTAGTTTAAGACAGTAGACACAGTAGAAACAGTAGTCTCTCTGCAACACCCACAATTCAAATATTTCACCTTCGCATCCTCCTCTCCATGTCCTCGGATTTATCTCGTTAACTCTTTTAGTTCTGTCTTCAAAGTGCTCACCACGGCTTGCAATTCGTTCACTTCATCCGTCCACATTGATATACTGCCTTCCATATCTTTAATTGTAGCCTTCATTTGTTCAATGTCAGTCCGCATTAGCATCACATTGTTGGCTATTTCCATTCTGACTGCTTTTAGATTGCTCTTTAAGAAGTTGAAATTGTCAGCGAGAGAGTTTTTAAGTTCAGTCCTTATCACTGCGGAAATATTTCACTTGCAGTCATGCCTGGTGGAGTCGGTGTGTCATTCGCAGTATTTATATTTCTGAAACTTAGAGGCCATCATTCTGAACAAGGCTCATTCATTTCACTCACTATGTGTGCGGTAATATGTTACAAATCACGCTGGGGATAATTGCAAAGGATATGTTGCTTTTAATACAGCTAATAAGCTCAGCTAAACATGTTCTGTTCCGTCGCCTGCACACTATCGTGCCCAGTTTTCAAATAAATATTTAGCATTAAATACAAATTGCAAGATCTATATAATACCCAAACTTTGTAAAAACAGGATAACATTAACAATCTACTTTTAGAATGCTAGCATGCTAGGCTTCCACTGTATCATAACATGTTTTTTCATTCTTTTTACAAACTAAAGGATGAGTCACAATTAATTACTGTGGTAATAAATAATATACCAAAGATGATACCATTACAGCTGAAGTTTATTTAACCTAGAAAGATTTATTTAATGCACATTTGAGAGAGGAAGTGAATTAGCACAGCCTATCAAGTTTGTGGCTCTTTGCAAGCTGGATTATGAAGCTTGCTTTAACAGAGTATCAAAGTGTAGCAAAAAAGTCAGCATGTGTTTTAAGTACAACAGTGTGAAATAAATGTCCTTTTCTGTGGTTTTCTGTGGAGTTTGTACCTCTCCAGACAGACTGTGGACGCTCTATGAACTGTAATGAGATGTTAGTGGACATGAAACACACTGAATGAGTGTGAAATACATTCAAACTGACCTTCTCGGTTTTCCTTTTGTTGCTGCCAATGTTTCAGTCAGCACATTTTGCTAGGCTGGCTTAAAGCCTCAAGTGAGTTGTTACACTGCATTTACAAATGTGCCAAATTCCCCTGCATTCTGGCAGGTTGTCTGGTACTCAGCAGAAAACCCTTCTGAGGGGCAAAACAGGGAAGAGACGCCCCCTACTCGCAACACAGCTTTGCTATCGATTCTTGGAGCAGTTCTGCTTCTGAACGCCTCTGCAGAAGACAGCCACACTCAGAAAACACGTTTATGTAGGAGGAGACATTCAAAGGAAGGTGGCTTCGTCTGCTCTGAGCAAATGAACTCCGGAAAGAGACGAACATACAGATTTCTACCTGCATGTTTCATATTTATGACACCAGATGGCTTGATGTGGAGAGCTAGCCTAGCTGCGTAAAAGCAGGAAGCCTTTGATTACTTGCAGATGATATTTCAGATATGTTTATGATGACAAAAATTATGCTTTAATCTCACTAGAATTATGATTATTATCTCCTATTTCTAACTAATAGATTCCATTGTTAACCACCTTTAGTCAGAAAACGTCTCGGGTTACTTATGTAACCATGGTTCCCTGAGGGGAACGAGACACTGCGTCCTCTAGGGGTCGCTATGGGGAACGCCTCGTCGTGACCCGTGTCTGAAGCCTACATTGAAAAAACACCAACTTGTTGGCCCGCGGCGGTAGTGACGTCATGGCTGTCGCCGGCCAACAAGTTGGTGTTTTTTCAATGTAGGCTTCAGACACAGGTCACGACGAGGCGTTCCCCATAGCGACCCCTAGAGGACGCAGTTCGAAGTTCCACGAAAGGGAACCACATTCAGAATATTCCAAACAGATTACATGCTACAAGCTCAGGAGCAGTGTTGGGCAGTAACGCATTACTTAGTAACGCATTACTGTAATTTGATTACTTTTTTAGTAACAGAGTAATTTAACGCGCTATAATTTTCAAAATAGTAATTAGAGTATAGTTACAAGCCGAAGTCTCTAGTGCTGGTGCGGGCGGGTAGACACTCGTGTGTGTGCGGGATGCGGGAGAATAAAATGATTCACGGTACTCCCGCAAAATAGAAATATATAAATATAAAATATCTAAAACAAATAAATTGTTATTCATCTATTGCACAAAAGCAACATGAACTTGCAGTGTTCCGTATGGTGTTTGATTGCTCGGTTATCACTAAGCATGTCTAGAGAGAGAAGAGTTCGATTAAAAAGGTCTGTCTCTGTTGGAGAAACTTGTTCTGTTCTGTGATAAGAAAGTTAGTTAAGTGCTGAGATCTGAAGTAAACAAATGAGCACAGAGTTGCCAAAATCTGTTTCCTGGTCTTTTGTACACCACAGAACTAATATAAAAATAGATTAACTAATAAAAAATTGCTTTAGTTAAAAATAACTGTGAATGTTGATGCTTTAATAACAAATATTTATCGGGAGCGATACATGCTGGGATTTCATAAATTTAATGGAGAAAAAAGTAACGTAACTAGTAATGTAACTAATTACTTTTGAAATAAAGTAATCAGAACAGTAACGTGATTACTTTTAAAAGGAGTAATCAGTAATTTGATTACATTTTCAGAGTAACTTGCCCAACACTGCTCAGGAGCTCATGTCCTCAAATTGCAGGTGTTTGGCACTGATATTGTTCTCGAATTAAGAAACATTGTCACTATCTAAATGGCAATACGGCCTAACAACACACACCACACACTCAAACTGACAGTACAGCATTAAAATTAAATTCTTGACTCAATTCTTGTGCTGCTAACAGTGTCTGATCCAAAACAAAAGGAGGATTTCTAAAACGGATCAGAGGCGGTATTGAATTATTCATCTCACCTAACGAAGAATTAAACTAATCTATCTGGCAGTGACACACGCAGTTTTCCGTGACGATGCAGACAGGTGCCAAACAGCATGTGGCAGTGACGGTTTAGCATGGGTCACTAATAATAAATTAAATGCTCAGTTAATAGCAGCTTGATAGCCAGTGAAAGCCAGCAAACCATTTTAGGCTGGTTAAAGCTGTTTAATCTTAGCAGGAGAGGTAAAGGCAGACATCCAAAGATATGTTAAAGTCCCCATGAAATCAAAATTAATGTTTTTTGGGTGTTAGTATCAATATGTTAGTCTTAAGTTTATCTATAAGGCAGTGCGCTCCAAAAGTGACAAAATTCGCATTTAGAAGATATAAGCATTCAAAGCTTGCAGTTCGTCACTTCCGCCAAAACGGCTCAACGATTTTTTTGACGTCACATCGTACTTCAGC